GAACCAACAGATTATTGGTCATAGAATAAATAGGCTGTAAAAAGTTGAGGTAGTGATCAGAGATTAGGATTGAAGGAAGTGATAATGACCTGACCTGACATTGGGAATGCCCTAACCTAGTGGTTCTCAACCTGTGGGTCCCCAGATGTTTTGGTCTTCAACTCCCAGAAACCCTAACAACAGGTATACTGGCTGGGATTTTGGGGAGTTGTAAGTCAAAATACCCAGGGACCCACAGGTTGAGAACCACTGCCCTAACCAAAAGGGCAGAGACCAATTCATTCTTTCTGAAAACAAGATCAAGATGGCATCCAAGACAGTGCATGAGGAAGCTATAAAACTGAAAGAGTTTAAGAAACTGTATGAAAAGCAGCAGTATTAGAGGAGTTTATTAATTTGAATATTTATATCACCAAAGAGCAAAGTTGCAAAAAACAAACAAACAAACAAACAAAAAAAAAAAACAGAATGCAAGCTGGCATCAAAGTCTGGCCTGTAACCAATTGAGTGGATGATGCAGGAAGCCAATCTTGCCCAAATACCCTGAATAAGACCAAATCCTGACAGATCTTGGAGACCAAGCATGGTCAGCTCTGGAGCGGAGACTGCCAAAGCAGTCTTTTATAATAGTCAAATTAGCAGGGTTTGCATCATCCAATTTACGAATCCATTTTCTTTATTCATCAGTGTTCCATTGGTCTCTTTGTCCCTCATAAGTTAGAGGAACTTTTCTCATGAATCACAGCACAGAATGGTTAGTGAGCAACCAAAAGGGCTAAGAATGAACCTTGACCTGCTAGAAAACACATTCTGTCCTGGCTTTTGAACATCAAGATGCCCACTCCTTTAAGTCTCAAATCTTTTCTACCAAATACAAAAATGTCACATTGCGAATAACTATTTTTCCAATAAAAATATAAGGATGCTCATATTTAAAATATGTAATAGGATTTTAAAATGTGTGTGAAATGGAATGATTTCAACTGGCAGCAACAGTAATATGTCTTAATAGTAAAAGTTTGGCTGTAGCACTTAGATCTCAAATATAACAAAATCAAAACCAAAAAAAATTAACAGTGAGAAATTCAAGTCTTCCTTGAATTCAAGTATTGGAACTGGTCTGAGTTAGTCTCTGAAGTAGACACTGAAATAGTATCTTACTTAGAGAATCATAAAATTGGAAGATGCCTTGTGGGCCATCCAGTCTAACCCCCTGCCGAGAAGCAGGAAAATCACATTCAAAGGACCCCCAACAGATGACCATCCAGCCTCTGTTTAAAAGCCTCCACCACACTCCAGGGCAGAGAGTTTCACTGCTGAACAGCTCTCACAATTAGGAAGTTCTTCCTCATGTTCAGGTGGAATCTCATTTCCTGTAGTTTGGAGCAATTGTTCCATGTCCTAGTCTCCAAGGCAGCAGAAAAAAAGCTTGCTCCCTCCTCCCTATGACTTCCCCTCATATATTTATACATGGCCATAAAGTCTGCGCTCAGCCTTCTCTTCTGTAGGTTAAACATACCCAGCTCTTTAAGGGCCTCCTCATAGGGCTTGTTCTCCAGATCCTTGAACATTTTAGTTGCCTTCCTCTGGACAAATTCCACCCTGTCAATATCTCGCTTCAATTGTGGTGCTCAGAATTGGACACAGTGTGAATCCAGGTGTGGTCTGACCAAGGCAGATTAGAGGGATAGCATGACTTCCCTGGATCTAGACACTGTACTCCTATTTATGCAGGCCAAAATCGTATTGGCTTTTTAAGCTGCCACATGACATTGTTGGTTCATGTTTAACTTGTTGTCCACAAGGACTCAAAGATCTTTTTCACATGTACTGCTGTTGAACCAGGCGTCCCCCATGCTGTATCTTTGCCTCTGGCATTTAAGTGTAGGAAGCAGAGTTCTACTAGTTATATATAAGGAATCTTATGCCAGTTATCTTTAGAGCAGGCTAAAGGGGTCTACTCTAGCTCTCTTTTTCCTGCAGATAAACCCCTGAAAATGTGTACATTCTTGCACATTAAAGGCCTGACAAATTGACACTGTTTTTCCATCCCTCACTTCCAATTCTTCTTTTTTGTTTTTGTTGAAAAGAGCAGCCACGTAGGTTGTGTGACAGCCCCTTTTAGTCATGTGTGAAGCACAATGTCGTCGGGAGGTGAGTCACTCACTCTAATCATACAGTAAATGCTCCTTACCAGGCATCTCAGAAAATGGAGATCTCTGGGGGTTTCAGCTTAGAATGCTGTCTATACATCAGGAGGATGAAAAGGAACACTTTTTGGAGAGTCACAAACAGTATGGCAACATCTTTTCCATTAATTCAAGTACAGAATGATCTCTTTTTTTCAGGTGTCAATTAGAAATTGTTTCTAATATTGAGTTTAAAAATAAAAGGCAGAAGTGGGTTTGCAGGAACCATTAAAAAAAACAAAACAAAACATATTGTGGAGTTGATGTATGGAAAACGGTTGCTAGTGATAGATGACCGTGTCACTTTGCCACTAGATGGCATTAGGCAAGTCATTATTAACCTAGCTTACCTCTCAGATAAAAATACCTCCTACTAAATGAAAGAACAGAACACATCATGCAATGTGCGGGGCTTGATGAATCCAAGGCTGGAGTTAAAATTGCTGGAAGAAACATTAACAAACTTAGATATGTAGATGATACCACTTTGATGGCTGAAACTGAGGAGGAGCTGAGGAGCTTTCTAACCAAGGTAAAAGAAGAAAGTGCAAAAGCTGAGTTGCTGTTAAACATAAAAAAACCCCCAAGATTATGGCAATTGCACTGATAAATAACTGGCAAATCAGAAAACATTTCCTTCTTGGGAGGAGAGCAATGACTAATCTCAATAAAATAGTGAAGAGTACAGATATCACACTGGCAATTGATATCTGCATAGTTAAAGCAATGGTAATCCCCATAGTAACCTATGGATATAAGAGCTGGACCATAAGGAAGCCTGAGCGAAGGGAGATAAGATGCTTTTGAACTGTGGTGTTGGAGGAAAATTCTGAGAGTGCGTTGGACTGCAAAAGGATCAAAGCAGTCCATACTCCAGGAAATAAAGCCCAACTGCTCATTGGAGGGAAGGATATTAGAGGCAAAGATGAAGTACTTTGACCACATAATGAGAAGACAGGAAAGCTTGGAAAAGACAATGATGCTGGGGGAAATGGAAGGGAAAAGGAAGAGGGGCCGACTAAGGGCAAGATGGATGGATGGTATCCTTGAAGTGACTGGCTTGACTCAGAAGGAGCTGGGGGTGGCGACGACCGACAGGGAGATCTGGCGTGGGCTGGTCCATGAGGTCACAAAGAGTCGGAAGCAACTGAACGAATAAACAACAAAAACAACAAACTACATGAAAAGGTCTTCCAAGAGCTCCGTTCTCGGTCTCCTCTATCCTTCAACAATCAACTGGCAGCAGACATAACAAAAGAGGATGCAGCAGAAGGAGTGATGGCCACAGTCAGCTCTGTTGAGAAACTGCCATGTCCTACTTAGAGGAGAGCAGAGCAGGGTGACAAATCCTCAGCTGGAGCGGGAGAAGGCTGGCAGCGTTCAGCAGCCGCAGATCTGAAAGCGGGGAGGCACAGGTCCCTCACCCTCTTGAGCAGTGTAAATTAAAGCACAGGGAGCAAAAGGTCAGAGAATGCCCTGCTTCACTTTAATTACACGACACAGCGCTAATAAAATTGCTGGTTACAAATTAGCTCAGCTCAGGTCATTTCATCACTGCAGAACAACAGCTCTCAATATCTGTGCAACCTTTCTGACATCTCTGGTTTCTTGACGTGTCCCTCTTTCATTATTGGTTCGGTCCAGTAGGTAAGTAAACCCAAAGAAAGGCTGGAATCAGAAGATGAGCAAGGGAAGTTGCAATTGCTCGGGCTAAAGTGTAGTGTAGGCCCTTTTCACCTTGAAGAAGGCAATGGGATTTTTAGGTATTTAAAGAAACCAGATCCATATGATCTTGGAAGCTAAGCATAGTTAGTATTTAAATGGAGACTGCCAACAATTACTAGGTATTGCAAACTATATTTTAGAGGAAGGAACTTTGCAAACCATCTCTTGTCTAAGAAAACTCCATGAAATTCATGGGATCAACATGTACCAATTGGCAAATTGAAGGCATATACACCGACAGGCATTGGTTGTAGGTGTATCCAGCTCTATACTACGGGCTGCCCAGATAGGCTCCAATAGTAGTTGCTCTCAGCTATAAGATACTAGAATTCTAAAGACTGATTGTTTTATCAGACATGCATCTCAATATTGTAAACAGTATTTGCTGTTTGAGAAAGTTATTTGGGATATTTTGATCTAAGATATTTTTTGTTTGTTTCAGGAGTGACTTGAGAAACTGCAAGTCACTTCTGGTGTGAAGAAATTGGCCATCTGTAGAGACGTTGCTCAGGAGATGCCCAGATGTGTTACCATCCTGTGGGAGGCTTCTCTCAAGTCCCTGTATGGGCAACCGGAACTGACAGATGGGAGCTCACCCCACTCCATGGATTCAAACCGCCGACCTTTCGGTCAGCAGTCCTGCCAGCACAAGGGTTTAACATATTGCACCATTGAGGGCTCTATCTAAGAGAGGGATGAAAGACAGACAAAAAAGAGATTACAGAAGTTGGCCTTCAATCTCCATAATCTTCCTGATTAGCTATGTTAACTAAGACTGATAGGAGATATATGTATGTGTGTGTGTGTGTGTATAAAGTCACAAATATCCACCTCTCTCTCCCACATTGTGGTTATACTGGCCAGTAAATTCGAGGCCAATTTGAACCCACTATAGCGCCAGCTTGGAGCCTATATAGTCCAGCCAGGCCGAAACCACAATGGACTGTCACCTCACCTACAATACTGACTGAGAGTGGAGAAATGTCAAGAAGATAGCCAAGAGCCAACTCAAAGGGAGCAAGCTTGAATGCCTATGTAAGCAATCCCTCACTCTCACACACTCTCTCTCACACACATACCACTTACCTGTATGATTTGAAAACTGGACAGAATTCACAGTATCTATTTCAAAGCCCAAAACCTGAAACAGGACAAGAGAAGAACAAAGATTATTAAACAGAATTTTCACTTGTTACTGAAGTACAGCATTGTATTTGCATGACCCATCATGAATCTATTGAAAAATTAAAAATGGAGCGACTAAATTTAAAGAGCTCTTAAAAATGAACAGCAACCAAACTATCTGACAAACTAAAAGAGTAAGTAGATTTCATTTTCAAGGAGTAGAGCACAAAGAGGCAAAAATAATGTTTTGTTCTTTTCAGGAAGACACATTGCAGCTGTAATTTACAGGATTGAGGAGTAAGTACAGTATGTAGCTCTCAGGATTCTGGGGGGCCTAAAAGGAGAACCAGCTGGAGAATAATAAAGGAATAGGGTCTAGAGCCAGCCAACATTAAAATGCTCCAAGAAAATAATAATATCCCCTCCTGTAGCATATACATAAAAAAAAACCTCCCTGAAAACAACCTGGGGTGTAGTATGTGCATGTGGTGTATACAAACAAGGTAAATATATTGTCGAAGGCTTTCATGGCTGGAATCACTGGGTTGTTATAGGTTTTTTGGGCTGTATGGCTATGTTCTAGAAGCATTATCTCCTGACATTTTGCCTGCATCTATGCCAGGCGTCTCAAAGGTTGTGAGGTCACAACCTCTGAAGATGCCTGCAACAGATGCAGGTGAAACATCAGGTGAGAATGCTTCTAGAACATGGCCATATAGCCCAAACAACCTACAACATCCCAAACAAGGTAAATATCAGTTCTGAACACTGAACAGAACCAAAGAAGGTAACATTGAACAGGTTTTATCTGATGCTTAAGCCATGCTACATTTTCATTTGCTGCTAAAGAACACAGCAAATACGATAAGAAAAAATCTGACATTTAAGATATTTGCTCTCCTTTATTCCCTTTGGTAAGACAAAATAATCTCCCCAAAAGGAAAGCTACTAAATACAGCACTGTGAGTCATGGGGAGACAATAGTAAGGATGCAGAAATAATTGTCTATGATACATTTTCAGGCAATTTGCTGGCAGATTAATTGAAGCTTCTGCCAGTCATAATATACTTCGTTTTGTTCATACAAGAGAGGAACCCCTCCATGTACAGAGTTATACTGTTGGGCCAGAAATAGGAATCCTTCCCATATCCTCCCACAAATCGGAAGACAATTCCAGAGTCATTCCAGGGTTTGGAGGTCTATCTCTGCCACAGTCAATGATACAGCTAGCATTGGGATTCTGAGTATCTACAATCCCACTAACTGCACTAGAGTACACATCACAATCCCTTTTCTCAACCAGTAATTTTAGCACATGTGGTAGAGAACTACCCCAAGGTGGGGTATTTTGCTCTTTTAAAAACCATTTAAACCTCATAGCAAATAAAAACGAAAGGAAGCTCTCAAATAATGGACTTATAGAAATGTAAGACATTTCATTGTGAATGGTGCACCAGTCAAGATGGTCTGATGAGACTATGCAATATGTTTTAAATCTAAAAATCTCTTTGAAATTGCAGCGATTAAAAGGATAAGATCACTGACTAGCACGGCTGGAAGGTACACATCTTACAGCCGTAAAACAGCTCTAGTGGCTTCCTCTTTGTTTCTGGACACAAATGCAAAGAACTTTGAAAATACTTTATGACCTGGGGCCTAAATAAGAAGGAGGACACGGCTTGAGTATTAATATCTTCAGATGTCTTTTCTGGGTGGCAACAAAAAGCAGAGCTTGGGGAAAGTAAACTGAATAAAAGATTTTGGCAGTTATAGTCCAACAAGGAAACTTCCCAGGCTTTGGTTATATACATTGTGGGGAAGTGACTTATCAGTGGTGGAGTCTGGTTGTGGAATGCCTGTTCAGAAACCATTTTTCTTAAGTTTCATGTGCCAGCTTCATAGGAAATCTGCTACTAAACAGGAGCTTTTTTGTTGCGCTCCAGTGTCAGAGAAGACAGTGAAAACAGAAGAACGGCCTGACTCAGGGGATCATGCTTGCTCCATCAATGTTGAACATTTACACAAATGATCAGCCAATGTCAGATGGGACAGAGGATTTCATCTATGCTGAAGATTGTGCCATCACTGCTCAAGCAGGGAGCTTTGAAGTGGTTGAACAGAAGCTCTCTGAAGCTTTAGGTGCTCTTACTGCCTATTACAGGGAAAACCATCTGATTCCTAATCCATCTAAAACAAAGACATGTGCTTTTCATTTTAAGAACAGACAAGCATCTTAAGCTCTGAGGACTACCTGGGAAGAAATCCCACTGGAGCATTGCAGCACACTCAAATATCTGGACTGTGCTCTGACTTATAAGAAGCACTGTTTGAATATCAAGTAAAAAGTGAGTGCTAGAAATAATATCACACGAAAGTTGACTGGCACAACCTGGGGATCACAACCAGACAAAGTGAAGACATCTGCCCTTGCACTTTGCTACTCAGCTGCTGAATACGCATGCCCAGTGTGGAATACATCTCACCACATTAAAACAGTGGATGTGGCTCTTAATAAGACATGCTGTATTATCACAGGATGTCTATGCCCTATACCACTGGAGAAATACTGTTTAGCCAGCATTACACCACCTGACATCTGTTGGGAAGTAGCAGTCAGTAAAGACAGGACCAAGGAATTGACATCTCCAGCCTATCCTCTGTTCAAATATCAGCCAGCATGCCAATGACTTAAATCAAGAAACAGTTTCCTAAGATCTACAGAGATACTCGCAGGAATACCTCAACAAGCAAGAACCCAAAAGTGGCAAGTTAAAACCCAGAAGCTCAATCAGTGGCTGATACCAGATGAGAAAATTCCTGGAAGACTTGGAAGGCACTGAACAGACTGAGCTATTGCACCATGAGGTACAGACCCAATCTTCAGAAATGAGGCTGCAAAGTGGAGGCCATAATATGGAAGTGTGGAGAAGAGCAAACCACAGACCACCTACTACAATGCAGTATGAACTCTGCCACATGCCCAATGAAGAACCTTCTTATAGTAACACCTGTGGCACTCTAAGTGGCCAGCTTCTGATCAAAGGAAATTTAGTACAATGGCGAGTTCTTAAATTTGTTTATGGTTTTTCTATTACTGTATTCTCAATTTGCTTCTGGTATGATAAATGTCAGCTTAATGACTCGAGAAGAGCCTTACACATATAATCTTTATATGATCGTAAACATGATCAGTAACACCAAGCAGTTGTGTATAGAGTGCAAAGGGAAGCAATTTCCTCAGATCATGTTCACCATTTCCTACCTGTTGCATTCCTGACAACAATCCCACTCATTTGGTTCACCTAGTATTTCATTTACACAACAACATGACTGCCAATCATATCATCAATACAACTTCCACTTATGGCCTGTCTATGAATTTCACACTACAAAGAACTCCTTGTCTAAGGTCTTGTGAACTCAGAGCCATGATTCCCTTTATCCAGTGGTAGCCATACTCTTTTCCTGCAGCTTTCTATGTACTGAACATTTTCATCTTTCCCATGGGTCATGTGCTCGCATGACATGTCCAGCATGTCTCTTTTGGGAGAGAAGAAGCAAGATGCAAGGGGGTGCTGTGGTTTTTAATTTTAATATGTTTAATATGTTTTTATGGATTTTAACTAAAATTTTAAAATACCAATTATATTTAATTTGTTTTAATGTTTGTATATTTGTATTGAAATGCTTTTAATGTAAGCAGCTTTGAGTCTCCTTGTGGAGAGAGAAAAACTAAGTATACAAAACATAATAATAATAATAATAATAATAATAATAATAATAATAACTTTATTCTTATATCCCACTTCCATCTCCCCAAAGGGACTCGAGGCGGCTTACAAGCAGACCAAGCCCAATATAAACAAACGTTACAGAGTAATACATTAAAAACATATAATAATCAACTATATTAAAAACAGTAAAACCAATAAAATATAAAACATAAACATGAACTACATAACAAACAACCAACAGCCAAAAAGTGGGCATGTGCAGATTTGAGACTAGTTGGGTAGAACAAGGGCTAGTGCGAACATAAAACTGTAGGACCGGGCTGGGAATAAAGTGCTGGGAATAAAGTATATAAATAACAACATACAACAACCCCACTTAGTAGGCTCCCATGGTTAAGTGGGGACTTGAAACCTTGTGTCCCAAGATCTTAATCCAATTCACAAATCCCTACACCACACTGGCTCACCTTACATTGAAACCAGTGGAGGTGGGGGAAATTACCTATAGTATGCCAACTATCAAAAAAACAGCGTAAGGAACTTTGGATTCAATGCATCAAGAATTTGGCAGAACTACTAGCAGTAGATTTATTCCCTTGGAGTTTCTGTGCTTAGGTTTAGTTACACAGCCAATGGAGGTCTTCTCCACCAGCAAAAGGGCACTTCTGATGCATGTAACACTGTTGGGATAGCTGTTCAAAGTGGATAACATTGTTCTATAATTTTAAAGGTTTGTTATACACTCAATCCTCCACATTTGAGTGTTTGCTTTTTTGCGAATTTGATAAAAAATATTATCTTTAGGAATCTCAAGATCATCCAACGAGAAAGCTGACCACAGAGTCGTGTTGGAGGACCTAGAGATTCCCAGAGAGGTGTTTTCTTGGGCAAAAGTAAATGAGCAGATTGATTATTGTTGTTTTATACCTGCAGTAATTGCTGTATTTTACTAATTTTAACCAGGGGTTTTTGTGAAGTGAGATATTTATATTAGCTGTTATTGTTTTATGTTATTGTATCCGCAATTTTGTATTTTATGTGTTTACACCTTTGAGGGCTTTGGAAGCCACTCCAAGTCCCTCTGGGAGATGGTGGTGGGTATAAATTAAATTTATTTATTTATTTATTCTCATTTGTTGTATTTCCACTTTTGTGGGAGTCCTGCACACCTTACCTCAGTGAATGTGGAAGGGGCTCACTGTATATCCCTTGAGCATTCCCTTCTACAGTTCATAATTATGAAATGTTCTTTTAAAAAAATCAATTACAATCTTTTTTCAA